TTAGTGGCTACTGAGTGGAATCCTTTCATTTTGTAGAAGCAACCAAGATTCCGAGAGAATAAATATGTGGCTGGCGAGGCCTTGCAGCTGGCGTGTGGCAGATCTGGGTCTGGAGTCCATCTCTCCCGACTCTTGGGGTGGGCACACTCAGTCCACCCTGCCTATACTCAACCTTTGGAGAGCTGTCCCTCCAGGTGGCTTCAGGGTTACTTTGGACACCTGTGGAGAGGATCATAGGGAGTGGGGTTTACAGGATGGAACAGTGACCACACCCCCAGGGGCCTCCCAGAACACCCTGCCAGGAGCCTTCCCCATATCTCTCTCCCTTCTGGGTCTCTCTCCTATTCAGGGAGCCAGATCGGTTCAGGAAGCGTTTGTTTTCTCTTTTCCATCTCTGTTGTTGTTGTGAGGCTGTCAAGTCGATTGCTACTCACATGAGTATTTCCATTTCTAGGCTTTGACAAAAAGCCACCATTACGATTGATTATTCTATAGTTTTGCGCATCCTGATACCCCCAGAGTGTAACTGGCCAGGCTCAAGGCTGGGATGGGCCATTGGGGCAGAGAGCATGCAGCTCCCTGGTTCCTCCCCCCACCCCCCGAGTGAATTTGCCCAAGGCCGCCTGCTGATGTCACCTTGAGGACTAAGTTGTGCCTGACCCAAGCTGTGGTATTTTCAGTTGCTTCATGTGCATGCAAAAGCTCGACAATGAATAAGGAAGACTGAAGAATTGACGCCTTTGAATTATGCTGTTAGCAAAGAATATTGAATATACCATGGACTGCCAGAAGAATGAATAAATCTGTCTTGGAAGGAGTACAGCCAGAATGCTCCTTAGAAGCAAGGATGGCGAGACTTCGTCTCACATACTTTGGACATGTTATCAGGAGGGACCAGTCCCTGGAGAAGGATATCTTACTTGGTAAAGTAGAGGGTTGGCAAGAAAGAGGAAAACCGTCCACAAGATGGATTGACACAGTGGCTGGAACAATGGGCTCAAACATAACGATTGTGAAGATGGCGCACGAGCGGGCAGTGTTTCGTTCTGTTGTACATAGGTTCGTTATGAATCAGAACCGACTCGATGGCACCTAATAACAACAACAGCCTGCTTCTCAGAGTAGAACTTGGCCTAGCTGCTCTAAGAAGTAACTAGAATTGTGTTGTTGGGTCCTAGAGGTGGTTATTTGGCCCCAGAATTCCCACTCTTCCTTTGGAATCAGAAAGGATGGGTCTGGAATGAGGCCTGGGATTGAGGTGTGATTGGTGTAGATTTGGGACTGGAAAGGGACCGAAGGGACCGAAGGGACCTTGGGAAGGGGGACAGGAAAAGAGCCTGCAAAACAGGAACACAGACCGCAGTATGGGAGGAGAAGGGAAGCTTGTGGGAATGGTTTAGAGGAGGAGAACGCTAAAATTGGCATTTCCTCAGAGGAGCTGCCTCCCTGCCTGCAGAGCTGCTCTTAATACTGAGTCACATATGAGGCTGGTATTGATCCTTGTCTCCTCATTAATGGCATTTCAAAGTATTCCATCAGAAATGACATACAGGTCAGAAATGCACAAGTTGCTGTGGGAACAGACCTGCGTCACACTAGGAATTTGACGATAATTAATGAAGGCAGGGCTGGGAAAGCTCCTTTCCTTGGCAGAATCAGCTACTCTGAGGCGAGGCTGAAGCGAGTGTTTATTACTGAGAGATGCGCCCCTCCCCCAGTTCCACTGTTTCCTTTTCTCCTTTGTTAGCTCTTTGTCCTTTTGAGAAGGTGAAATTCAGTAACGTAAAAATAGCGCTTGCAATAAGTGAAAATCGTCCCCCAGGTGGGAGCTGAGTCTCTTACTCCTTTTCACGTGGAAAGGCATAGCACTCTTCCTTATCGGGTATTTGGTGAGTATAAAGAGAAGGGAGCCCTGGTGGCACAATGGTTAAGAGCTATGGCTGCTAACCAAAACGTCAGCAGTTCGAATCCACCAGCTGCTCCTTGGAAACCCTACGGGGCAGTTTTACTCTGTTCCAGGTAAGGTCCCTATGAGTCGGAATTGATCCAATGGCAGTGGGTTGGGTTTTTTGGTTAATAAAGAGAAGGAATTTTGGAATCCTAGTCCACAGCATACTAACTAGCTGGACGGATTACTGAATCCCTCTGAGCTCCAGTTTGTCTTCATCTATAAAATGATGATAATAATAGGAATTATTATTATAATTATAATAATACAGGGTTATTGTGAGGATTAAGTGTGAGAATAGATGTAACTCGCCTAACAGAGAGGTTAACATGCAGTCGTTGCTCAAAAAAGGCAGATAAGAATTTTTAGATCTTGAGAGCTGTGCAGTTTATTTTACCAACATGTACTTCTGTGTGTGGCTCTGTGAGATCATTAACGTCTCTTAAAATTAATTTCCTGTGAGTATTGCCTCCTAAACGTGTCCAAGTATTGTGTCTTAAACATTTTAGAAGCCCTCTCTGAAGCAGATGAAACACAAGACTTGGGAGTTAATGTACTTGAGTTTTAGTCTGGAATTTTACTCTCCCTCATGCCGTGCTGCTGGTAGGTAAGTCATCGAACCTCAGCACGTCTTCTTTATCCTGTTAGTTTGAAAGGCATTAATATTCCACTGACGATGAGTGAGATCCAGTTGAGATGATACATGGGAGTGTCTTGGTGGCCTGAGGTCCTTCCCCTCTCTGCTCGCTTTTCTGTTTTGTATCTTGAAAGATTGACTCAAGATACAACCTCATCCTGTAGATAGAGACCTGCCTCATTAACATCATAGAGGTTAGGATTTACAACACATAGGATAATCACAACAGATGACAAAATAGTGGACAACCACACAATAGTGGGAATCATGGCCTAGCCAAGTTGACACACATTTTGGGGGGAGACAGTTCAGTCCATAACAGGAAACATAATGATGTCCGGCAGTGTGGCTGACTTTAGGAGGATGCTGGGTGTACCTTTGAAAGCAGGAAGGCCAGTGTCAAACTATGTTGACAGAATCAGAATTCTAGAATTTTAGATTCAGCCCATCCCTTTGAATTTTATCTCTAACCTTCTTTTCCCTACCTCATTGATTGCATGATTTTGGTATATTATCACCTGGCATAACATAAATAACAAACCCTCGCATTTCCCACATATCCAGATTGAATTTAGTTTTGAAGTTTCTGAAGAGAAAAGGCCTTTTTAATTTTAAAAAATTTCATTTATGTATGTATTTATTTGTTTTGGAGTAAGGAAAGTTATAATAGTATGAAAAGCTTGATGTTTAGACAATTTCTTTTTTTCCATTTTTTGAAAAGAGAATTTGCCGCTTGTGTGTAAGACATCTGCTTGTAGTCTTATTTCCTCAGAGTCAAAGCACATTCTTCCCTTTTTGGCTGCCCTTTTTGTAGGCAAAAACGAAGTCAGGAATAAAACAACACTCTGAGACAGGACAGACTTAAAATGGCCCCTTGTCACCCAAGTTTTCTTCCCTTTAGATGTTTTCCACCTAGCAAATAACTAAGGATCTTAACTACAGAGGGAAATGGGGGAATTGACAAGATGTTAACAGAAGAATGACCTCGGGTCTTAATTGAGTGTGTCTAGGTGGCTCCACATGTGGCCGCCTGGCCTCGTGAGACTGCCTCTTGGCGCACACTGAGCCCCGCCTGTCCACGGACGTTCACTACATGTGTGCCTTGCGCGCAGAACTGAACTGGAGGCCACCGAGAACAGAGCAGAAGTATAAATAAAGCATGCTCCCTGCTCTCAAGAAGCCAACGGTCTCCTTGGAAGTAATGAGAACGATGCATGAAGCAGCAGCAGAAATGCAGGACAGGATGTGATTAGGTCCTCAGCTGTGTGACGTTTAGAGAACATACCGTGTAGAGCTAGGGGAAATGGGGAACTGGAATGGTTGTGCATGTCGCCTAGAAGGAGGGACGCACCTTGACCTGAGCCTGGAGAGGGGTGTGTGTGGTGAAGGAAGGAGCAGAGGTCATTGCTGGAGCGGGGACAGCAGCCAGCGAGCTGAGTGCGTCCCTCAGACAAGCGGGGTGTACACATGGTGGTATCTTTGAGACGGCAAGATCAGCCCGAGAGAGAGTGTGGGAGCCGGGAGCCGGTGGTGGAGGGCATCAGTTTGCTTTTGACAAAGTGGGAAAATAGAGACCCACTGAAGATTCTGTGTATTTGTATTTCTTTATAGATATCTTTTGCT